TAGGGTCGCAATTTGATGGTTGCACAGACAGTTTGGTCATGTACCTGACCGTGTGCTCGTGCAGCTTTTGGGAATCTCGAAAATGTCGTCGGATTACATTGAAGCTGCCGAGAGTTATCGATGTGCATCTTGCGAACCACATAAACTGTTAGCTGAGACTCATAAGGTTGCCTTGCCCAAGAAATTCGGCTTCAATCATGAAATCAGTACCGACTCTCTGGAGGTAAAGGACAACAGTGGAGAACGTTGCACCTTCTTGAACATAGTGTGCCATGGTGCAACATTCCAACGTAATCTTCGTCAAGCAGGGAGGTGGTACGCCGTCTTCGAGAGCATGCCTCGCTGCATTCCAGCAACACTGGTGCGCATGGGCAGGCAAGCCCAAACGAATGGCGTTAGACCGTGGGCTGCACAACAGAGGAGTGTTTCTGCAATGGGTTGAGTCAAGGGGTCGACCTCCGCGACGCCGGAGTCGAGTCCCCCGAGCAGATAGGCCGCGCCGAGAGACATGGTGGAGTTTGGAAGAACATCTTCAACAAGTTGGTACAGGACAAGAAGGTTCGCGGACTCGATGAAGTCATCTCTACTTCATCAGTAACTGACAGCGCGAAGAATGAGATGTCACGAGTCGGCGGGTTCGCGCCTGCTCAGTGGGTACTCGGGAAGATGCCTCGTGTCCCAGGGAGTCAATTCGACGACGAGGAAGCTTCCGACTTAGGAGTGCCTGCGAATGTGGCAGAGGACGGAGCCGACGAGTTTTCTCGCCAGGCTGCGATCCGGGCGTCTGCCAGGAATACATTCGCGGAACACGACGTCGGGAGTAGAACGGCAAGGGCCGCTCTTCGAAAAGCAAACCACTAGCCGGGGAATCTCAAGTAGGTGATGTAGTGTGTGTTTCGTAAAAGGCCGACCGACGGCGCAGTCACTGCTAAGTGGAGCACTGGTTCTCGCATCGTTGGGTCCGATGGCAAAAACGCATGGGTTATCGCAGAGGGTGCACCTGTCTGCGTGGCTGTCGACAGGCTTCGACCGTGTACTGCGGCGGAGGCGTTGGCATACCAGTATCTCTCTAAGCATCGCGACGGTGGAGTCGAAAGATATGCACCTCCAGACGGACAGCAACAGTCATTTGTGGACGAAAGACGCGAGCTGCCAGAACCGCGGGCACAATAACATCCTTACAATAACATCCTATGGCGACGGAAGAGCTGCCGGGGATCCCGGAGGGCCCCGTGTTCATAGAATAAGCATTTCGCCAAATGGAAGAAAATGAACTGTCTGAAAGAATGGTCGTTCCTGTGACGCCCGCGTCGAAGTAATCGCTGGTGGCTCGAACGCCCCTCCAGAGGTCTTTGCTAGACGACGCCCCACACGGCATGCAGAGTCGTAACGAAGTGATGCGCAGAAGAGTCGAGATGCCGATGGTAGTACGGGAAGGGTTTCCGATTCTATTGTGGACGTAGCTCCCGAGCCAGCGAACCCGCCCCTCGAAGCCATGCGCAGGGCCGGAGCGTCAGGGCCGGGCATGGATCTGCTAGCCCGCAGAGAAGCATCATTCGCAGTTAGGTCACATGAATCGCTTGTCGGATTCTTCAATGATAGCACCGGTCATAAGCCGCAATTTAAGAAGAAGATAAAGAGTGCAAAGCGTCTGGTATATCATCGAGAATCTGAGGACGTTAGAAGCGGTTTGCGACTGTCAAGACAAGACGAGTGGGGAAAGTGGCAGAAGTTCAACGCCGCTGCGCTTATTGATTCCGTGGAACTGCAGAATCCCCTCGACGAAGGATACCGCATGGTACCTGTACACTGGATTGAGATTGACAAGAGTGACCATCTCCGTAGACGGGGAGGACCTCCGGTTGCACCGCAGTACAAGAGTAGACTTGCCGTACGTGGAGATTTTGAAGAGTCGCTGGGCATCCGCGCGGATTCGCCAACGTGCGAACTAGAAGGGCCAAGGTTGATAGTACCATGGGCCGCCGGCACAAAGAGGACTCTCAAGTGTGCCGACATTACATCTGCGTATTTCCAGGGTCAGGAAGTCGACCGCCCCATGCTGCTCAATCCACCGCCCGACGGACTCGAAGGAGCACCGGATGGTGGAGCACTGGTCGCGCGCATGCATGTCTATGACACGCGTGACGCAGGACGAGGCCCATGGAAGAACATTTGCAAAAGGTTTGAAGCTCATGGTCTAGATGAAGGGGGGCCGTATCATGCCCGCTTTGTTCAATATTCACAATGACAAGAATGAGATCACGTGTGTGCTAGGTACACCTGTAGATGACATACCATGGGATGCAGATGATGAGTGCCAGTGCTAGAAGAGTTTGATACTCGCGATATCAAAGTCGGATAATTGCCGCTGTTGTGGTTTGAAGTTGTTCAAGAGGAAGATTTCACGGTGATATCACGGCTAAGGATACGATTGAGAAGAGCGAAGCTGCACCTTGGAACCATCCCCTCACGAGAAAATGCAATGAGGGTGAGACAGCGCAGCTCAGATCGGTCGTATATGTTTTGTCATAGGTCGCACGTCAGCGTAAACCTGAGCTGTTGTCTCGTGCGAGCAGACTGCAGACAGCAGTGCGTCACGCTAAGGTACTCCATCTCAAGGAAGCCAACCGTGCGCTGGAAGAAACATCTCGGTCCGCCGACTGCGGATTAGCCTGCAATGGTGGAGCTGTTAAGTGGGATCAAACTATGATAGTCCTTACCGTTATTGACGCCAGCTGGGCAGGTGAAGAGGATATAGTCAAGGGTAGAATCGAGCCTCTCAGATCACAGGGTTGGGTTCAATGGACTTGCAGGGGCTGGGTTCATCGAGGGGAACAGTGATCACGTTCACCCTATATTTATATTTAGTAAGGTTATCAAGCGACTATGTAAATCTACACTACAAACCGAGGCTCTGACTTGTTTATGGGGCGTGGAATCTGGTGCACGCAATCGCGCCGCCATCGCAGATGTTCGTGGAATGCTTGGCGCCAGAAAGAAGCTGCCAACCAATTTGGGAAGACAAATCAGCCATGTCTATGAGACATGTATGGATGATGGATTGTGAGAGTCTTGAAGAGCATTTTATAGCCCCAACTATGGGCACGGCAGGAGATAAGCGGTGGAGTATTGATTTATGGAGTTTAAGCCAGGACGTTTGGACTAATGGAATGGAAGAAGTAGATATCACACATCCACGCGCGTTTTGTGATAAGATCCGATGGATGGTACAAGTATGCTGGCTGTTGATTGTCTGACGAAGAATGTCTACGGACTTATTATGTACTAGTTCGTAGGATGCAACCCCAGATCCTGAATCTACCCGGAAGATTTTTTTGGAAAAGAAAAAATGACGAGGGCCAGAGTGGATGCTATCCCATCGGGGAAGTGAGTGACCGAGTCCTGGCTGCCTTGACTTGAGTCATCCCAGTATGGGAGTGCTCCATCTTAAAGCCCCATAGAGGCTTACTTAAACCAGCGTTACTTCGCGGTCTGCCCGCTAGCTCGTGATAACGTTTCACGGGTGTGAGATAGTGCATGACGTGTGCATGCGCACCACTCGCCGCCTCTCGCCGCCGTTTGACCTCTAGGGGGCCCTTCTCGCCATTGCGCTAAAACGCATCATAATCACAAAACCTTACCAAGGTTGAGCAAGGTCGGGCAAGGCGTAGCAAGGCTTGCCAAGGCTGAGCAATGCTTCGCAAGGCTCAGCAGGGCTTCAGCAAGGCGTGGCAGAGCGTAGCTGGTCTGAGCTTCCGCAGGCTGTGCGAAAATGCACACCCTCACCACCAATACGCCTTCAGGAAATCGGAAGAGCCCCCAAACATGCACCTCCCAAGCATGGTCTTCTAAATTCCAGGCCCACGTTTGCTGGCAATGGGCTGACATTTCGAGGACCATGCTTGGGGGTGCATTTTTCTGTCGATTGGCAGTTCTCGAAGGTATCCGCAGATTGCGAGAGTATCGTCCGGTAAACTGCCATCTGCGTAACGGTGCTAGAGGACAGGATGAGGAGAATGAGGAAGAGGAGGCAGATGATGAGGAGACCATGAGGCATGACATCCTGCACGTCTCGTGTAACACGCCGCATTTTCTACGATCCCCTGGCCTCCAAGCACGAGGTTCTGACTGTGATGTCTAGTCCGGTCCTGCTTCCGACCGTTCTTGGCTCGGTTTGTTTCCTTGGCTGCCCAGCATGCCTGCGTACTCGAGGTCCACGCGCCAGTCGGGTTATCGGCGGCGCGCCCACGGGGAAGGCAGACGGGCGCGTGCCTTTTTCAAAACGTTCCAGAGGGCCGACCTTCTGGGAAGTTTGCCAAGCCCCCTCTGAAGCCCCGCCGCCTTGTGGAAAGGCCTACCCCTCTCGGTTTCCCGTCGGTGCGCCGCCGATCGGCGTGCGAAAATGCAAAGCATTGTGGCTCGTGCGGCTGTTCGTTGTGTGGGTGTGGGGTTGCTGCCACCGGCAAGTTCGGGCGGCTGAGCAAGTCGGCTGTCGTCCATGCGCCATGCGCGCGCCGGCTATCTGCACTGCGAGCAGTTCAACATTGGAGTCAACAGCGCGACAATTCGAACCATTGCCCTCCGCTACATGGCGGGGGACGCAAAGACGCACGCCAACTCCGACGGCCGTGCGCAGCACGCCATATGACTGGTGAACCTGGCTCCCTGCGGCCTCAAACTACCATGCGAGCGAGTTCGTCCGCGCGCTGTGCAATGATTTCTGGATGGACTATCACGTCGACAAGAACGACTTCCTGCGTGGGGCTAAAGCCTGCAGATGAGCTCGCGAGGAGGAGGGCGTAGAGGAAAGGGGGGGGATAGGAGGGTGAAGCTTGCAGCGGGAGTCCGCAAAGACGGCAGGGGAGAGGTGAAGGGGGCGGGAGCAGGTGGCGAATCAGGAGATGGAGGAGAAGAGATCGGAGCATGAGGAACAGGGGGAAGTGGACGAGGCGGTGTCGGAGGGGTGGTGGGATGGGTGGGAGACGAGGAGCCTCACCCAGTGGGGCCGGCGGATGTCCAACTACGTGTGGAAAATCTTCGCGTGGTTGATGGGTTGGGCCCGGCGCTTAGAGCGCATATCGAGCTCGGACGAGCCAGAGACGAGGAATGGGAGGAGGAGGAGGACGACGATGACGTTTCCGCAGTACGCATGCCAATCGTGGAAGAACGGCGCTCGTATTGTCCCCCATGTCAGACTGAGTCCTCGCTTGCATTTCACGCATGGCCAGTTCATATCCCTCCCATATTTTGTCGACGCTTGGATGGTTCGCACCTTGCGTGATCCAGCAGAGCCTCTCATTACCCTCAAAACTTCTTCCACCATCACACCACAACCACCCTACGGCCTGCTGCCCTCGCTTGGTACAAGAGCTATGTCGACGACCCACGCGGACGCGCTGCTACATAATCGCAGGCCTACGGGGAGGCTGAGCGACCGTCTCCCAGAGGTTGCTTCGTCGGGCAGTTGCGCAGCGGCCTCCGCGAAACCGGACCGTCGAGCCGAGCGCCAGCAGCCATCGTATGGTCTGATGTAGCTGAGGGGTAGATGATCTACCCCAGCGATTCCCGCCGGGCCCACTCCCCCGCATTCTCACCGCCAGCAGGCCATTGGCAACTACGTTTATTTCAGGTGGATGCACCTGCGCTTCCACAGGATAAACTTCTACAGCTCATCCAGGCAGGGTGCCGACTCTTTGGGCGACCCACCTCCCAAGGTCAATGTTGAGAGCGAGGGGGTTCAGGAGGTAGGGAAGGGCGTGAGAGAGGGGTTGCGAAGGAATGAGGAGGTGGGGAGGTCAGGGGGAGAGACATTCCACATTCGTACCGACTTGCAGGGATGGGGGTCTGGTCTTCGACACGTGAACACAGGTCCTCTCTTTTTTCATTCGCAGTATACGCCCCTCGTCTGCTTCCTCCTTTTTTTCATCTCTTGATCCCACCTTGGATTACCCTGAGCATCATGAGCTGGTTAGGTATCCAGGGATACATGCATACGAGATGCCTCACCTTGTCTCGTTGTCCAGACTCTATTGTATGCGGTTGCCTTTGCCAGTCTAGCTCATGTGGCGCTCATGTGTGAAGCTGAAATCGCCTGGGCAGCCAGAGCAGTTGTTGCTCCTCCTCCGCTCTTTCTCCTCACCCTCTCATCTTTCTCTCGCTCCGCCTGCTCGCGTCTCTAAGCTCCTGTTGGCGAGCTCCCACTGCTCGCCCTTGTGGGCCCCAGCCCCTGGGTGTTGCCAAGAGTAGGGGCCTGTCGCCACACTTCTGGGCACTCCGGGGTCCCACGGGGTAAGCCCCGCAGAGCAGCGCCGCACGGGCACTCAGGCTCGACATCGCCTCTCCGGGTGCTGGACGCCCCGGGAGTTGCTGTGCGTGCCAGTGACGCCGCTTTCTGAGCCCCCCCTGGCAGCCCAGCGGATCCAGATTCTATATTGGAAAGGCCTGACGGCCGGTGCCGCCGACCCTGATCGAAGGGGCTAGGAGGGGGAGGAGGAGGAGGAGGAGGAGGAGGAGGAGGAGGAGGAGGAGGAGGAGGACGAGGAGGAGGAGAGGAGGAGAAGGAGGAGGAGGAGGAGGACCAGGAGGAGGAGGAACAGGAGGAGGAAGAGGAGGAGGACGAGGAGGAGGAGGAAGAGGCGGAGGAGGAGCAGGATGAGGAGAAGGAGGAGGATGAGCAGGAAGAAGAAGAGAAGGAAGGAAGAGGTGAAGGAATAGGAGGAGGATTTGGAGGTGGAGGAGGAAGAGGAGGAGGAGGAAGATAAGGAGGAGGAGGAGGAACAAGGTCAGGAGGAGAAAGGAGGAGGAGGATGTGGAGGAGGTGAGAAGGAGTAGGGGTAGGAGAAGAGGACAAGATGATGATGATGATGATGATGATGATGATGATGATGATGATGATGATGATGATGATGATGATGATGATGATGATGATGATGATGATGATGATGATGATGATGATGATGATGATGATGATGATGATGATGATGATGATGATGATGATGATGATGATGATGATGATGATGATGATGATGATGATGATGATGATGATGATGATGATGATGAGTAGGAGGAAGAGACGGAGGAGGGAGGAGGAGCAGGAGGAGGAGGAGGAAGAGGAGGAGGAGGAGAAGGGGAGGAGGGAGGACGAGGACGAGAACCTCCTCGCAACGCCCTCCGGCCTTTCTCAAAGGCTGCCAGGGGAGTCGGATCTGGAGGGGGGGGGGGCTCCCGGGTCCCCCCGGGGACCCCCCCGGGACCCCCCGGAAGGCTGCCAGGGGAGTCGGATCTGGGGGGGGGACCTCCCCGGGACACCCCCGGGACCCCCCGGGTCCGGACCCCCCCCACCCCCCCGCACCGGGGAAGGGAAAAGGGAATGGGCTTCCCTTCGAAGTATTGACGACGTTCAATCCATTGCTTGGCACGGCATGTGCAAGGAAGAGGACTCTGCTGACGGAGAGCGGGAAAACGGTGAGTGGAAGCTGGATGCGGCTAGAGAAAGTCGAGCAGGAAGGAAAGCACGACGCGAACGGAGAAGCCCCTCACACACGCCGACAGGGTCGGTGGATTTTTGTTGATCCACGTTCTTGCGACTGCGCCAGCATTAGAAGCGGACCGCACCTCCTCCCTGGGTTTCGCCAACCGCGCAACTCTCGCCGATTCCCATACCCTTCAGAAACCTGTCGGAGCGGTCCGTCACATTGAGCTACGTTGTGTATCCCCCCCCTCTCCTTCATGGGTGCTCTAAGCCGTCCCCTTGAGATACCACACGGGCCCCAACGGTCGGTAGCCTCTCTCGGGCGTGGCGCACACATGTTGTCATTTCCGAAGACCTTCGGGGCTTCAGCGGAGCGACCCGTCACGCGGGTCGAGTGACAAGTGGTACTTCGCCTCTTCGTGTGTTGCCAGACGGTTTCGGAATGATCAAATTCATCGGCCCTGCGGGATAGATTCCGCCGCGGAACGTAATCGCCCAGAAGGGCCCAAGGCTGTCCCAGAGGGCCCCAAGAGGCCGCGGTAATAGTCACCAAAGGCGCCGAAGGTGTCGAGAACGAGGGATGCAAGCATCTAGGCGGGACCTCGCTCCCCCGCGAGGTGTTGCCAAGCGTCGAGGCATCGCCGTTTTCTTGAGCGCCTGGAAGGTCCAGCGGAGCGGCGCCGTACTCGGCAGGTACACAGAGTATCAGTGGCACGCCGCCATTGGGAGCCCGTCAGCGTGTCACTCATTCGTTGTTGCCGGACGGTCTGGTGCTTCTTCGACAGTAACACTCGGATGGGGTTCCCCATGGCGGCCCATCATTGGTACTGTTTTGGCTTAGCCGGGTGATGCTAGGTATAGAAGCGCCGCAACTTCCTGGCTCAAGCCATGTCTCAATACCCCCCAGGCCCAAAGGCCAGTCCCAAGAGCCCGCACACAGGGTGCATTCAGGCTTCCTCTCCTCTTCTCCTTCCTCTCACACATCCCTGCCAGCCCGCGCAATGCCGCTCCAGAACATTGCAGCTGGACGAAGGGCGAAGGCGGTTGTATAGTCTGATTGGTTGTAGACTGCAGGTTAAGTGGGAGGGGGTGTGGGCTCAGGTAGCCATTTTGGGTCCGTAGCGTTCGGCTCTGGCCGACGCGCGGGTGTTCCAGGGGGCCGCGGGGCGGCCATAACCACAGCCGTGCTAGTCCGCGGACTAGGTAGCGCGCCTGTGGTGCCATGGCTGTGGGCTTCCTGGGGGCGCACCTGATGATCTTGGTTACGGGCGGCGCTCTCACGGTCCAAGGGGCACTTGGCTGGCTGCCGTTCGGGCGCGGGGGACAGGAGGTCCCAGCGCCGACGCCGCCAGCCCTGCCCGGGCCGACAGCGCTGCCGGCAGGCGGTGGGGGGCGAGGCAAGGGGCGAGGACCGCCCGCCAAGCCCGCGCCTGCAGGGGGAAAGGGGCGAGGGCCGCAGGCCAAGCCCCCGGGGACGCCGGGCGTCCCACCGCCGCCGCGGTCAGGGTCGACTACAACGACCACGACCGCGGGCATCGGGCGCGTAGGCGAGGGCGAGCCCACGGGCAGCCCAGCTACGCCGGCATACGGAGGTAACAACGAGCCCACGGGCGCGCCTGGGCAGCCGTCCGCCCCGGGAAACCGGACGGGCGATGGTGAGCCTGACCTGCCGCGTGGGCTGGACGGGTATTGGGGATGGAGTGGTTGGGTCCCGCACCTGCCCCATTGGTGGGCTGGCCGGAACGTACCCCCACCGCCGCCGCCGCCACCTACCCCGCCCCCGGAGGCGGGGCCGGGTCCCGGCTGGGGCTTCGCAGCCTGGGTCTTCGAGTTCGTGGGCTACGGAGCGTGGGTAAGCTCCCCCGACCACCCGGGCACGATCCGCACGAGTGGCGGATGGATTGGATCCGCCGTCGACCGCCTGGGCGTTAAGATGCTTGGGTACTGGTGGGAGACCGCGGTCCTATGCTTTGCCCTAGGCATCTTCACGTTCGTGTTGGGTGCCCTGGCCTTCATCGTCAACACCGCAGCCCAGCCTATGCTGTGGGCTGCTGGGGGACTCCGCTGGGCGTGGTACCAGATTACCCGGTGCTGCCAGCGACGCGGAGGCGATGGGCCCGGCGCCCATCTTCCCCCACCCCCTCCGACCCCCTTGCTGGTGCGCTGGCGCGGGCCGGGCTTGGGCGGCGTGGTGGAGACGGAGTTCTACACAAAGGGGGTCCGCGGCCGAGGGACCAATCGGGCGTACAACCACGTGCTTCTGCGTAAGCACGGGCAGGTGGCCCGCATCAGCTGCAACTTCGCGGACCGGTACCGACTGGACCGCCACGGGCTCAACATCAAGATCGGGCAGGTCCTGGGGTGCACCAGTCGCAAGTGGCGGCTGAACCTCGAGGAGACAGGGAATGTGCATCTATGTCGTGCCGTCGAGTGCGCCTCCTGTCCAGTGGCGCATCCCATGCACGTCGACCAGTACGCGGCCATTGACCACGCACAGATCGTGGACTTCGCTGAGCACGGAAGGGCCACGGCCTGCCGGGCAGTCGGCGTGGGACTCCGGAAGGTATTCGGGGTCGTCAAGTGGCTGCTTTGCTCACCCTGGTCGGTTCTCGGATGGCTGTGCCGGGGCCGGCCGGAGCCCCGCTACATCACCGACGCCACGGGCTATCGCCGCCTGGACATCGATTCGGAGAGCGAGGTGGAGGCGGAGGAGCGCCCCTGCCAAGCCGCACAAGTTGGGGCGCAGCTCGCGGGTGGCGCACGCCCCCTCCAGCCGGAGGGGTGCGGCGACCGAGGGATGCAGGAGGCTACTGTCCTGCTACAGGAGGACGCGGAGGTGTCGGACGTTCCCCGGCCGGGGCATTGTCTCAATGCACAGGTGCACCTCTGCGCCCACCATGCGCAGAAGTATCGGTCTACCCTGATCGGCCGCAAGTGCAGCCTCCCCACTTGTCTCCGCATGGCGAAGGGTAGCTGCGGGGGGGCCCCGATGTGCGGGGAACATCTCCGACGGGACGAGGGTCACACCGTGCGCGTCGAAGCGACGGTCCAACCTGGGATTCTCGGGGGCCTGCGCCGCCGCATGCGGGCGCGGGCTCCAAGCCCCGCCAGGGCGCGCGATTGGACCGCGCACGCTGCCGATGGGGTTGGCATAGCGCCCGGGCCGGTCTACCCCCCGCCTCTACCTCCCCCCGCTGCACCGCCAC